CCCCAAAACCCCAAAACCCCAAAACCCCAAAACCCCATAAAATTTCCTCTCTGGAACCCCCACTAATAAAAATATGAACTCCAGAGAAAGACTACATTCATTCGTGAACAACAATGTATACGTTGCGGTTATTTATGTTCTTACCTTTGTGGTGGTTTTGGGGCTGTTGGTGTGGAGGATGGTGGAGGGAGGGAAGAAGGCACTGGCAGTGTATTTTTGAGTGCATTTGTATATGCTGTGTGCGAATTTTGTATGCTTCATGATGATAATCACAGATTACCAATATGATGAACAAGACACCTGAGAGCTAATTTGCTATTGGTCCTTTTCAATATTCTTTATTTTCACTCCATCAGGACTACCCATTTACTTTATATCTCGGGAAGAAAACCAATATTTTTGGACCAAAGAGGCACAGTTTATTACGATTTGACTTTTCTCTATTCCTTTCCTCGCCTTGTACATTCCTCTGCCAATAGTGTTCGATGAGTCTAAGGATGCAGGCTTCTGGATCGGCTATTCATTGATGATTTACTTGTCAATTTACTGCCATTTATTCTACTTTCAGGAAGGGTGAATGTTCAAGATCGAATGGATCACGTACTTGAGCCCTGCAACATGGATAGTAGCACTTGGATTCTTCATTTGGGAAGTGAAGAGCTGAATTACTGAAACATGCTGAGAGAAATGATGTGAAACATCTGAGAGTCTGAGTCGTGAGCAAGCAGATAGAATACTCCAGCTTGAACTCCAACTGCAAGAGCAAGAAAGAACAATACAGAGATTACAGACGATGAATTCCAGATTCATAAGGGGTAACCCATATGCAGAAGATTTTGGTAATGAGTTAATCTAAGTTTTAGTCAATTATGCTGATTCTGAAAGCCATATTGATCCAATATTTATGTCAAGAGAGAATAATGAATCAGGTACATAAAGCCAATAATTATCTCTTTAGTGTTTCCAATCGACCTTGAGCCATTTAATGACGGAAGAAGAGTAAAGAGATGCAATAAATGAAGAAATATGATGCATAAAGATTGTTTTGATGAATGGTTTCAACATCACGAAAGTTGTCCTATCTGTAGAAGTCTTTTATAATCCATGGACATTAAGACACATCCTTTTTTTAGATTGCGACATTTCAGGAGACTAGAATTGAAAACAATCATAAATAAATAGTTTTGCTGCAAAGTTTGTTCCTTTCCATAAGTTCCCCATTTACAACAGATGCTTTAAACAAAAAATGCTCCCCAATATTTTGTTTGTAGATTTTTCAATCTCAAATAACACCCCTGGGGTTTTGGGGTTTTGGGGTTTTGGGGTTTTGGGG